TGCAGAGACTTAAGGTTTGCAGGTGCTCTGGCCACAGGGGGTAATGACACTAAGGAAGAAACAAGCCCACAGAAGGGAGGAGGAGTGGGGAGGAGAAAAAGCCACTGGGTCCTGGGGGAGCAGTGATGGCGACAACGGAGTGTAAAGCAGGGAAGGCTGGGAGATGCCGCGATAAGCTGTCCCTGGGGCACCAGGGCAATGACCCTGCAACTGCTGAGTTAGCAGCAGTGCCAGGCGCAGTGCCAAACATGGAGCAAAGCAAAGCAGATGGAGGTGGAGAAAAGCCCAGGCCCCGTGAAGGGTGCTGAGCCATCCAGCAGCCAGCAGAACCACTCAGCTCTCCAAGGTGTGGAGACAGCCCTTCAGGGGACCAAGCCCATGGGCACCACCACCAAGCATGACGGACCCAGGCAGGGGCCTGTTCACCCCACGGAGACAGGCAAGGCCGGGGAAGAGTAACCCTTTCAAATACTGCAGGTGTGTTTAGTTAGGACTCGTGGTAAGAGGTCACCTGGCTTCTTATGATTTCTGGACAGAAATGGGGCAACCCGCAAAGTAAGCAGGAGTTAACTCTTGCGGTCTGCTCTGCACACCGCTCCAGAGCAGCCAGGAAGCAAGCAGCTCTGCTGGGCAAGAGCTCAGTGCAAACACCGGCGCTGATCAGATTTGAAAGAATGTGGGAATAACGACGTGTCTGCTTGAAAGAGTTCCTCAGCCTTCCTGTGCCCTAGTATTCTAGGTTCTATAAATAGTATTCCCGGTCACCGCTCTGAGCCTGTTGATGCATTTGGGTTCCTTCCCATAGCTATCTGTATGAGGACAAGGACACATTTACATCCAACCGTTGTGTGCCAGCATCCTCCTGTGCCACTCTCTAAATGGCACTCATTCCCAGGACTAGTCTTGAGAACCACAAAAATAGTGGAGCTCCCAGTGCCAGACTGGCCTGAATTTTCAAGCAACGTCGAGAAGAAGGATCCTATCCAGGGTCTCCATGCGCTTGGCCTCCCTGCGTCCCGTCCTGAGGCCTGCAGAGGTACTTGGGGCAGCGAGGAGGAGCCCCTGGAAAAAAATGTCTTCGCACTTTTTCCAGATACGCTTTAGCGGTATCTGGCTTAGGTGGAACTGGTCCTATGTCATACTTTAAAAAGGAAAAATTGACTTTATATCTCTAATATTTTATCTTGGAGAACTCTCTTGCCTACTGGGTGTGACCTAAATGTCACCAACCCTTCTCTGGGAGACCTTAAATATTGAGCAGGGAGACAAGAGAATGGACGCTGCTGGTTCATGCCCCCTTGTTTGAGCAGGGAGCCGTCGGCAGCTAAGACACGGCAGCATCTGACCTGTTTCCACTCACTGTCTGTGAATAGCCTACCCGCGCTTACCCAAGCCAGGATGGTTTTAATAACTAAACGCAAACATCCTCACTGATACAAACTTAAAAAAAAAAGCACTTTTTCTCAATGTGAAAAAAAGGAACTCTGCATCATGGGTTATGAGAGGATGCACAGGGAAGGCACCGTGGCTGCTTTTCTCCATGGGTTATTAACTGCAGAAATAAAGTATCAAGAAAACCATGAAAGGGGCACAATACATCAAAATGCAATCTGCCCACCAAAGTGAGTTGGAGAAGAACGGCCCTCTGAGACTTACCCTTTTTCATAATTAAGTAGATGTGAATGAAAATGAACTAAGTACTCAACAAACTTGTCAATAAAATAAAGAGAAGTAGGAAATAAGATTGGTAAAAGATAAAGTTAAAAAATTATAAAGTCAAAAGACAAGCTATCTTTAAAATAAGTCAATTAGCCAGTCACGGTGGCACTTGCCTGTAATCCCCATCTGCTCTGGGGCAGTCTCCAGGAGGATTGTGAGTTCAAAGCCAGCCTCAGCAACTCAGCAAGTCCTTAAGCAACTTAATGAGATCCTGTCTCTTAATAAAATATTAGAAAAGGCTGCGGATGTGGCTCAATGGCTAAGCCCCCTGGGTTCAATCCCTAGCACCAAAATAAAATAAAATAAAATAAAACAAAATATAAAAAAAAAATCAGTAAATTACTAAGTGGCCCAATGAAGCAGAAAGAAGTATATACACATCATTTCAAAAGTAAAAAAGAAGCCAAAACCTCAGATATGGATAAAAATGAGTATATTATGAAGAGATAATTTGACAAAACATTTGAATATTTTGCCAAAGCATTTTACATTACGTTTAAAATGGATGACCTTCAACATAATGAAAATAGTCAATATTGATCAAGGAAAACGTAAACACCCTTACTTAAAAGAACAATAAATGAAGGAAATTGAGAAAGTTATCAAAGAACTCTCCTCAAAATGGCTTTAAGTTTTATAAATTAACACTTTCAAGTCTTTAGATAAAAAGAGTCATTTAAAAAATAGCAGTTCATCGTTTTCAGGGTGTAGGGCTTGAGGAAAGTGTCTCTTTCTCTTTGTGAATCGGGCCTGCGCCTCATCTCCACACCTGATGTTCACACAAAGCAAAATCATACAGAGCCAGACCACATGCCGACACAGCAGACCAAGCCCTGAATAAACTGTTAATGAATCCAAGCCCACGGTAAAAGGATATCAAGGAAAAAATTGCTCAGCATGAAGAAATGTTAATAGAATTCATAATACTTTAACAGCTGAAAAGACTGCCTCATTGTTAAGTAGATGGCAATAAGCTATTTGGGGAAAGTGGATTAATTCGTGTGCACATTCACGTTAGAACAATTCACAGGGATGAGGGAGGGCCCAGATCTTTCTGCCAGCTCACAGTCACATCTGTTCTGAAGCCATTAGGAAGCGAGAATGGTGATTCTTCCTCAAACCGTCAAGCAGGGAAAGGTGCCCGAGAGTCTCTGACGTGGCGGATGCTATCTATCAGGTGTCCACCAGAACACCAGACAACCAGCCCCGCAGGCCACCGTGGTGGCGTGGTTCTTACCTCTCAGGGAAACCGGGGCTTCCAGGCTCATGGCTTCTTGGAAGCCTGAGCTCATCATTTTGCTGTTGGGGAACTTGGCCTTTGGTCCGGGAGCTGACCACTGGGTTGCCCGATGCGTCCCTCCTGCTCTGATGCTAGAGGATCCAGGGGAGGAGAGAGGGGACAAAGAGGAACGTGAAAGGAGAGGACCAAGACCCCTTCCCAAGCGCTCCGCAGGTCACACCTAAGCCAAAGAGAGAAGAGAAACTGAAATGGGTGAAATGTTGAACATGTTTCAAGTAAATGTCTTACTTTTCACCTTTACAAAAGTGCACCCTCAGAGACGGACACTTCTCACCAAGTGGCACATACCCGTATGTTGAGCCACCGTACAAGTGTCAAGAGCTAAGATATCACCAGTCCCCATCCAAGCACGACTCCCGCCACTGCCCGAGGAAAGTCACTAATTTGATTATTAACAAGATATGTTCATTTTGTCTGATTTACAAAATGTACTTTTTGTTTTCTTCTCCTCGTGTTGTATCGTGAGAACCATCGGTGCTGGTGTGCATCTGGGTCTGTCCATCCTTGTTGCAGGGTGAGTGGACCATGGTTTATTTATTTATTCTCTTCTTTCCAGGTAAAAACTTAGTTCTTTCCTCTTTGGGCCACTCTGGGTAGGGCTCCTGTGAACATAGCTGTGCATGTTTTTGCATGTGTGTGAAATTCTAAACGAAATGTCTGACTTGTGGAAACCGCCAGCTTAGCTTTAGGAGACCTCGCCAAGTGGCTGTCCAAAGTTCTAACTTACACTCACATTCCTAGTGTACAAAGTTCCAACTGCCCCACACCTGTGCCAACATCTGCTCTTTTATCTTATCCATCCTGTTAAGTGGGTCATGGTATCTCATTTGAGCTTTGATCTTCATTTTTCTAATAACTGTTGAAGTTGATTGCATTTTTTATACAGATGGGCAACTTAGATTTCTCATTTTTGAAGTCCCCGTTTGAGTCTTTGCCCATTTTTCTATTTGGTGGCTTCCCACCCCCCCCCCTTTTTTTTTTTTTAAAAAAAATGTCCTGTATATAATTTTCCTGTTCACTTTCCTCTCTCTCTCTTTTCTTCTTTGAGTTTTCCAAGAATCCTCCTTTTCTATACATTGTCAACCTCCGGACAGCAGATGTGTTCTCATATCAGGGTCACCCTGTGGGCCTCACCCTCCATTTTCCTTAAAACAACTCACAAAATAGCCTGTCGATTAGCATTGGGAGGTTCTCTTCACCTGCTGAATTAGTCCAAGGTTCTGGTCCTGTGGTTCTAACAGGGCTCTACCTAGGGTGGGAACTTCTCTAAAAAAGTTGAGGCAAACCAGAATATGCTGTGTGTGGAGATGACCTGGAGGATGTGTTTGAGGTGCCGGAGCCAGAGTCAATGTCCGTTGGACCCACGATGAGGGAGAGTCTTGGGAAACGAAGGAGAACTTGGAGAAGGCAGAAGGACCTCTCTAGGCTCACAGGGGCTTCCCTTGAAGTCCTGCCTTTCTGGCCTTGCTGTATCCCCTCACACCTTTAGCAATCCCCCCCCCCCCATATAAATTGTCATTTCCCCTGAAAACGCCTCTCTCCCTTCCCCGGGATTTTCTCTACCTGGTCTCAACACCTCCCTGTGCCCACATTGTTGCCCGCACATCACAGTAAGAGCCTTCCGATTCTGTCATATCTCCCTGAATTCTAGCTAACCTCATTCGCTTGATCTTTTCCTGGTCATTTTCTGGTTTTAATCTGGAATTTAGCTGGGATAAACAAATATCTGCTTTGCCTGATGGAAATAATCCAAATCTAAATAGATTTAAAATGCCCTACTTAATTTTAGCATGTAAATGTTGGTAGAATTAAACCACATAAATAAGCATCCATGTTTCACAGCCTATAAAAACAATGAATGTTAATTCTCTGGATTACCAGTTTTAAAATTGAGGTCTGAGCTGAGTTCTCTGGCATAGGGCTGCAATTCCCAGCAGATCTCTGTGTTCATAACCGCACCCATGAAGGTATTTATCAGTGATTATTTTCACATAGATTTTATTTATCTAGTACTTCCCAAAGAGGAAAATTTGAAAGCAACAGGAATTGACTTCTCAGCCTTGTTCAGCAATTGTCAACACAGATGCTGCATGTTGAAATTCCTGGGAGTCTAACAATGAGTGGTATCTGGGCTCCACCCTAGGCTGATTCATTTGGAATCTCTGGAGGAAGACCCAGGCACCAGAATATGGTTGAAGGCTCCCTAAGAGGGCAGAACACTCAGCCAGAGTGGAGATCCTCTATGTCTATGGTCAGGAATGTAAAGAGAGAATGGTGATAAGTAAAAAATGTCAAAAAGCCAAGAGTCAGTACTACAGTTAAGTGTGCAGCTCCACTTCCTCAGAGGCGAGTGAGAGTCCTTTCTTTGGCCCACTCCTGGATTTCTGCTCGTCCAAATGTGAGGTAAAAGATCAGACCAAACATGTTGACCGCAGCGGACAAGAAAAATACATTCTTCCATCCAGACTCAGAATCCTGGACATAAGAACATGGCAATCATTAATCTCCCAAGTTCCTCCTCCAGCAGCTACAGAAATCCTCTCTGTTGTGCGCTACGATGCTGACCACCAAGAATGTACTGGACCATGTGCAGGAGACACTTAGCATCCTCAGTCAGCAGAGGGTCCATGAAACTGAGGGAAACAAGGTCACTCTAAACGCACGTGGGTTCTGGGTTGGGATGGTCAGCTCTTTAACAAAAACAAATCCAATGACACTAACGTTTCCCTGGAATTTGGATCTCAACATTCATGAAAATTTAGTATTACTCCCAATTGTGCCTAAAATGGCATCATCAAGACCCCATGATTGTGTCCTTGCTTGGGCTGTTGACATCGGTCACAAGCATCCCTCAGGTATCCATCTCAGGGACACATGGCTTACACTGGGTCTGCCTAAGCGACCCTCCTCACCCATCCCTAGAATATCTCAAGCCATTTCCAGCATTGTGGTCACAGCAGGTTCTCAGCAATTTGTTCAAAAATTAACCTGATGGCCAGGCGTGGCGGCACACCCCTTGATCCTAGTGGCTCATGAGGCTGAGACAGGAGGACCGAAAGTTCAAAGCCAGCCTCAGCAAAAGCAAGGTGCTAAGCAACACAGAAAGACCCTGTCTCTAAATATAACACAAAATTGCCCTGGGGATGTGGCTCAGTGGTTGAGTGCCCCTGAGTTCAATCCCCCTTCCCAATTAACCTGATGTAATAAAAACAAAACTTTGCTTTGAAGGTTGACCCTCCTCAGCCTCCATCCCAGCCTGGCTCCGCCTTCTCCCTTGCCTTCCTCTCCTACTCAGGGTTCCCAGCATGGAGCAGACCTCAGGGCAGGCTCCTCACCATGCCCAGCATGCTCTCCCCCACAGCTCAGTCTCTTCAGACTAGCCTTGGACACTTTACGTTCCCTTTGTGGTTTCAGCCTGAAGAGTCTTGGTGACGCTCCTCCTTCTCCCCTGCCTTCTGTCTCACTGCTCCGATGACACCTGTCGTTCACTGTGCTCAGAACTCAGGACTTCCTGCTTCTCAGCACAGGAAGTCAGACCTGCCATCTGTGACCCTGCTTGGGCCCATTGCCATGACCTGGACAGCCTTTCACTTTCAGAAACCCAGCTTTTGTTTCCCTCCCCCTGGGAAACCTGACCTCTGCGTCTGACTTACAGGTGCGTGGATCAGGGAGCACACCTGTGGCTCCCCCATCAGACCCCACCGCCTTAAGAGCACCGTGTGTATGTCCAATGCCTCAAATGATACCTGCCACTTGCAGATGTTCAATAACAATCCCAACCTGACTGATAAGGAATCCGGTGGCCGTGGAGGAGACGATTCCTGCAATAAGGCCGAATCCCCTTGAGATCCCCATGAGGAAGCTTGCGTACCTGTGGAGAAGATGATTTTACGGGTGGATTGATGTTTTCTGCACAATTCATCTTCAGCGAACCCCTCTCTAATGGCACATCATTGTGCCTCGTGTGGCTTTTCGCTTTCCTAAGGACATCAGGGTGAGATGTATTCACCAACCATGAAATCACCTGCCCCCTGGGTCAATAACCACAATACCAGACTCCATTATCTGGGTGGCTGAGTTTCTCCACCCCACCACTCAGCCTGGCAGGCAGTTTACAGGGCAGGACACAGACTCGGAGACCAAACTGTGCAGGTCCTAGTCCAGCTCTTCCCTTGTGCAGCCACAGTCAGGCCACGTGACCCCTCCTGCCCCAGTCTTCTGCCTGCACTGGGGGCAGCAGCAGGATCTCCCTCACACAGCTGTAGGGATGAGGTGTGCTGGTTTATAAGAAGCTTCTAGCACAGGGGTCGGCTCTCAATGCTCCATCCATGCGTGGTAGCCAATACAGTCAGCACCCTAGAAACTTCCAAAACACTTGTCTCTGGGCCCTTTCCCAAAGCACACAGTCTAATCTCTGGTCGGGAGCTTGAGAAGCTATTTATCTAAATGATTGCTGGGAGTTTGTTCTAAGAATGCTACATCAGGTCATGGTCGTGAACTGCATTTCCAGTTACTTCCTTCCCGCCTCCATCTGGCGCACGTCAGTAGCTGGGAAGCTCCGCGGGGTGATGGCTGAGGTCTAACGCCCGAGTGCCCTGGAGCAGGGAGACAGGCAGAGCTCCTACCTGGGGGCAATATCCAGGGTGTTGATGATGAAGCCCGAGTCACACAGGTTGCTGGTCCCAGGAATGAGAATCAGCAAAGCGATGGTCATGGTGTAACTGGAGGCCACGAAGGGCAGGGCCACCGCACACAGTGATGGAAGGAGGAGCCCTGGGCAGGGAGGACACCTGTCAGCCCCCTCAGGCCACTGCTGAAAAGGGCCTGCTGACCTGGACCCTCCTGCCTGTCCTTACCCAGGGACGAGAAGAGTTTCCGCACGGCAATGAGGCTGAGGAGTTTCCTGGACAGAAGGAAATCTGCCAGCTGACCTCCTAAAATTGTACAGCTTGAGGCTGCAATAAAGGGCAGGGAGGACAGAACCCCACTCTGCAGGAAGGAAACCGGACACGTAGTTACAGACGCAAATTCCGCCCCCAGTGTTCAGTCACACAGACCACTAGCCTGCCCCCGTCCTCCTGAGTGGTTTGAGGAAAGCGTGCATCCTTCGCCACACGGGAAGGACACGTCTCTGGTGAAAGAAACAGCACCCCTCCAGCTGGTCTCCAGGGAGAGTGTCACTAGTTTCCAAGAGAAGCTTTAGATGCAGGTGGCATGGCAGTGTAGCAGAGTGGTTAGGGCAAAGAGGCTGCAGCAGCTCTCATTGGCAGTCCTCCAACCTCAGGCAAGTCATCCCGCCCGTGTCCCATCTCCATGTCTGTGACATGGGCATCACTGCAGGGCCACTTTCAGACTCAACTTCAAGTTAGAAGCAAAGACAAAATGCAGCAGGAGGCACCGAGCTCTTGTCATGGTCACGAACTTCACACGAGTACAGGAAGCTACTCACCTCTCTGATGTTCACGTGGAGCACAGTGCTGATGTAGGTTGGCAGGTACGTTAGGATGATGGTGCACAGCCAGAAGTGGCTGAAAAACCCCGTGAAAATGGCCCAAAGCGGCAGGCATCTGACCATAGCCTTTATGGGGACAGATCGTCTAGGAGAACTGGGCTGAGAGGAAATGTCTAATCAGCTTGGGGATGGGACAGTCTAGAGAACACCTCTACCTGGAGGCCCACACCTGCCTGGGCACCTCCCCATGGCCCGCGGATTGGGAAGGCCATTGTACCTGGTGGGCCAGAGAGGACACGATGTGCTCCTTTTCCCTGGCACTTATGCACGGGTGATGCGTGGGGTCATCATAAATGACCGTGAACCACAGGAGACAGCAGACACAGCCAATGCTACCTGGGAAGTAGGCGCACATTAGTCTCCAGGTAGGTGTGTGCACCCGTGGGGGGCAGTGTCCTGTGCAGCGTCCTGCCTTTCTCCACCATACCATATCAGTTTCAGCATGCCACCTCCAAGGCGTAGGTTTTCCATCTCTTTCTGCCCATCCTATGAAGCTACTTCTTCCACAGAACCTTTTCAGATACCACCCCCAAGGGCAGATCTGCCTTTTGTCAACAATAGAGCCCTCTACAGATGTCAGGGGCAGGAGCCAACCATTGCCAGCCGACTCTTCGTTTTCAGGACTCCCGAGTTTATAGCAGTATGTGTTTTAGCAGCAACTCTGCACTACACACATGACTGCCTTGCTTGGGAAGATCAGAAGAGTCAGGACCAGAGACAGAAAGCACTTCTACATACATGAACCGACCTGCCAGGAGGTCAGTGTGGCCAGAAAGATTTCCAGCACATTTTGCCAGAGTGTTATTTGTATTCAAACCACATCCGTTACGGATTCCCAGGGGAAATACTTCTTGATAATACCTGGTTAACGTGTGACACAAAACATCTGGGGTTAGCCTCACTCATGAGGAAGCGACCCAAGCCAGAGCCATCTTTATTGACACCATGTGGCTCTGATAAAAAGAACAACGGCAGAAACTTGTCTCAGTACTGGGCTTTGTCACTGGAATGATATTCTACGGTAAAATACTTTGGGGACTAATGCTCTTTTGATTTGTTCCACTGGTATTCATCCTTTTTTTTTGAAGATAAAATTCAGACACTCTGATGCCACCAAAGTGATAAATAGAACATATTATCTAACGACGCCTTGCCTCAAGCATTGCCCAATCTAGAAGGAAAATGAGAAGGGGGCACAGATGACGGCACCCCCCCCCATAACCCGGAGAGGAAATATCAGTCGGGATCATAAAGAACAGCTGCATCTGGTGGCGTAGGTCCTGGAAGGCCCCCTGGAGAAGGAGAGGTTTGAACTGAGCTTCGAAAGACGCAGCTTGAAGAGAATAGGTCAAGGGCCTCACGGGCAGAGCAATTATATCACAATGTGAAGACGTCTTGAAGATGTCCTCAACCAGCTGTGACAGCTCAGTCACAGAGCCCAGGCCTTTTGGATGTGCAGATTCTGAGCAGATGCGCGGGGCAGAAGGGGAAGGTTTCATGCTGACTGGTCAGAAGCTGGCACCAGTGCAGAGTCATCTCCTCTGCCCTGTGCATGGGGTGTCCCCAAAGATTAAGAAAGTTACCCAACCTTGGCGTTCTTCCTCGTTTTCCACTTAACGAGGACATCTTCTCTTCACATGGGAAGAAGGTGGGCGGTGTATGAAAACCAACGCCCAGGAGGGTGTTAGGATCTCAGAGATGATGACTCACCAAAGATGTAGAAGATGAAAGGCCAGCCCAGGGCCTGGGAGATCAGTCCCCCGACACAGAGGATGAAGAAGGATCCAAACGCTGCCCCTGAAGGGAACAGGAGAAGACACTTAGGAAATCAGCAAAGGCCAGACTGTCTAGCCCTGTGGACCCTGTCCCTGTGGTGAGGCGGCTGACTCAGCCTTACTGAGTGGTGGGAGCATGGTCCCTGCTCACAATTCTTCCATGAACACTGCGAGGTGACTGCCATCAATAAATAATAGTGACATGTCCCTGGTCTTCACTGGCTCCCCCATGTCAACGCAGCCAGCGCTAAGCCCCCTACTTTGTCCTAGAAACTCTTCAATCACAGCTCATCAGTATGTCCCACGGCACCATATGAGTTTGGGCACAGAAATTAATAAGCCACAGCCCCTGTCCTCAAGGACCTTTTGGTCCAGAGGGAAAAACCCACCATCACAAGTATAATACACTGTAGGCCCTGAAACAACCACAGCGTATTCCGCAGACGCATGGCAGGAGACACATCTTCAACTGGTCTACAGCAACATGGCATACACCAAATAGAAGGACAGTTGTCACACAACCACACGCACATGCTTCCAACCAGAGTCTCATGAACCAATACCTACCTTTACCATGGCAGAGCACCCGGCAGCGTCTATTCTATTCACTTTCACTCTTTAGTGATTTTTACCCACTAACTTGACTTTATGACCCCTTAGTGGTCATCATCTATTAATGGGTCATAGAATTCAATCTCCAACTCAAAAAAGTGGTATAAGATAGAAATATGAAAATAAAGCTATAATGTCTTCTATGGAAATACCTATGAGGATAAACTAACAGTGATTATAAGATGGAAGAATTTTTTTATATGAGCCAAGCAATAAGATGGTGGCACGTAGGCAAGAAGACCAGCGTCAGGGAACTCTTCAGGGATAGAAGCCCGTGGAGGAGAGTGCAGGGGAGCAGAGTGAGGATGTGGGGACCCTGGGGGACTGAAGCCTGCCGAGCCCTGCGGCAGAGGGAGCTAGTGGAACGCGGGCTGGCACCAGAGGGCACAGCACCCTCACGTCCTCCTGTTCTCCACTCCTTGATCACAGAGGAGCGCTCTGAGGATGCCCCGGAAACTGAGCAGAGATGCCCCATCCGAACTTTAAGAAGATAACTTGGCTTTGATGGGAAGAGAAGCCAGGAGGAAACCAATCTAGAGGACAGGACCAGCTGGGAGCATTTGAAATACAGGAGGTGGGAACGGCACTGACCGACAGGGGAGCTGCTGTGGGGGATCTCACAGGCGTGGTTGCCCGTGGGACCTGGGGCTGAGGAGCTGGAAGGGAAGGCGGTTCTGCAGTGCTGTTCCTCGGGTCGGGGAAAGCAGCGAGGCGGCAGAGGGCCCAGCAGGACCAGGCACGCTGGAGGGAGGTCCAGCACCAGGACCCAGAGTGCCAGGCTCAAGTCCCAGCCGTACTGCTCTCTGCATTTGGGTCTTTATTTCATCTCCACCTCCCTTAAGTCCCCTCCCTGGAGAAGGAAGTCGCCTCACAGCGGAGGGCCGAGGCGAGGACTCCTGAGTGCAGAAAGCGAAGTGGCTCCCATGGCTCTGGCCCTGGGAACTCATCTGCCTGCCGCTCTGAGCTCTGGTGGCCTTGCTAAAATGGAGTTCAGATGGCCCACTTGACCTCCTCCACTGGGCCATCCCTGAAGCTCTCGCCCTTCTCCCACAGGGCTGCTGGACGCGGGCTCCCAGGGGCTTTTCTGCTTCTCAGCCCTGGTGTCTCTATCGCACAGATGTCCCCCTCCTTCCGTAGGTGCCTGGCCATGTTCTTGAATTTTTCAGTAGCACTTTCCCCTCTCGCCCCAGCCCTCTGATTTCTAGAGGGAACGCCCCCGAAGGCTGGACCATCTGGCCAGCCTGGGGCGCGTGCCTGCCCTTACCGGAGCCCGCGATGCTGGTGAGCTTGCTTCGTTCCAGTGGAGGGGCCCACTTGGCCCAGATGGTGAACTGGCCTGTCCACGCCATGCCCTGCAACGAAAAGCGGTGTGACTTCTGCTCTTTGCAGAACTGGGAATCTGTACCCCACTCAGAATGAGCAAGCCTCTGGATACCTGGGCCATGCCCTGGACTGTCCGGACCACGATGACCAGGATCACTCCGACGTCAGCAGCCAGCGGGGTGGAGAGGGTGAGAAGGGAAGAGATGAGCAAACCGGCACCCAGCATCTGCTTTGCTCCAAAGATCCCCGCCAGATATCCACTTGGGATCAGAGTCAGGATGATCCCGTAGCTGATGGAGCTAAAGATGACGCCCTGGGTCTCTGGGCTCCACTGATACACAGAGGCCTGGAAAAAAAGGTGAAAGCAAAAAAGAAAAAAGAAAAAGGAGTAAAGAAAACTCCTTGCTACAAAGTCCTTTCATGAAAGTCTATTTACAGTCAGAGCCTCCTGGGGTAGGTGAGACCCTACAGTAAAATACCTATGTCTCTCTCTCTCTCTCTCTCTCTCTCTCTCTCTCTCTCTCTCTCTCTCTCACCTAATTCACATGTTCCACCTTTCACCTCTAGTCAGCCTCTCTTAGAAGGAGAGAAAATCAGAGGCCAAGGTCAACAGTCAGCCACGTGAAGATGGGAAGGAGGAAATATTTGGAAAGAGCGGCCAAGAGGCAATTCACCTGTTAACTCTGAGCTTCCTTTCAACTAGTCTGTAAAAGCTGAGTGACATCGACTCTCCTTTGAAAGAGTAATATAAACACAAGTCTAATAAACCCTTACAAAAAATAACCCCCTAATTAAAAGGAATTATCAAGTTAGGAAATTAGAGTCTGCCCCCAGAAGACCCAAATTCCCAACACACTTTACAAATGTAGAAGATCACACTTTTCTTCTGATATAACTCAGGGAACAATTTTTGGTTGTCTACTAGATACATGGATGGCATCATATTGTAAATTAAATAGACAAAGAATATAAAATAAAAAACATTGTCCAGACACGGTCATGCACGCCTGTAATCACAGCGGCTTGGGAGGCTGAGGCAGGAGGATCACAAGTTCAAAGGCAGCCTCAGCAACTTAGTGAGATTCTGTCTCAAAGAAAAAAGAAAAAGGCTGGCAATGTGGCTCAGTGGTTAACCGCCCCTAGGTTCAACCCCCAGTATAAAAGAAAAATATTAGAAATATTGTATTCATATAAAATAATCATAAATGGCACAGGTACATGATTCATGTTAGAATTAATATTTGAGGTTGAAATAAATAAAATGGCATCTTTGAGAAAAGGGAAGAATTACTTGGGAAGGCCCAGGAAGGAAGCAGTCTTTGAACCGTTCTTTGAAGAATGACTATAAATTTTGTATGAAGAGAAAAAGGGAAATTGATTCTTATTGGATAAAATAGCAAAAATAGGCTTGCAGCATTTGTAACGATGTCATGAGATCAGAAACTAAGGGTCAGTGGCAGACTCAGCCCAGACTTTCCCTGGGCCACAGGCAGCAGAGAGGAGCGCACTGAGACTGAGGACCAAGTTCTAGAGAGGCACGGCGTGTCTGGAGGACGCAGTGTTTGTTCTCTTGAAAGTCCTGAGCACAGGAAAGCGGCAGAATGGGTGATGGAAAGACTAGAGGTGGGGAGGTCATTACAGTCATGCTGGGCCCGATGTCATTATGAAATCACATTATGAATTGTGAATTGCAGGAATGACATTAGAAGTGTTCAGTAAAGGATAGTTCGAAGAATAGTTTTTAAAATTGGGTAGAATCATGATTCTCATACGACTATAAAATGCACTGTGACACAGCTTATATTTAACTCACTGATCAATGAGGGTATCAGTAAGAAGTCACAGCTCGTTCAAAGGAAGATTCAAAGAACCACACATATTAAAGTAGGCAGTCGTTTTGAAATGGATTTTAAATAGACGGCAAAACTGGTTTATCCAACTGGGTGGGATGGGGGTTGTTGAGAGGAGGAGTGTACAAGGTGACTCCACAGGACAGAATTCATTTGCAAAGCTATAGACAAGAAGCATTTGCATTTTTATTCATTGTGTATAACCACAGAGCTGCAAAATGACTTAAGAACAGTGAAAGGTGCAGATATCAAAATCCAATTGGCTAGCCCAGAAGGAGGCATGTAGACAGTAAGCGGTTTTCCACTGAGGATACCCATAGTCTGTTTGTTCCATTTTATAGTCTTTTACATATTTTCCTACATCTCCTCTACCTAATAAGAAGAAGAAGAAGAAAAAGAAGAATGAAAGATTATTGTTATCACAGAAGTAGTCAATGTCTCAAAAATAATTCCAGTTCTTTTTACTTTGTCATTAAAGTTCATATTTCCATACTCTGCAGCAGGAAGACCCAAGCCTTCCTTTCAGTTTTGTTTTTTTTTTTCTCCTCAACAAAGAGCCTTGCTCTCCGTCGCACTTACCCTAGTACCAAATTCCCTGGCGGATCTGCCTGGGTTGTGGAGGCTGTCTGCCAGAGGCCCCTGGGTGGAGGCATTGGATGGACCATGCTGCTGGGTGCCGTTCACCATGGCGATGATGGCAATGCTCAGACTGACGCGCTGGGTTATCATGGTGAAGTTTGAGAAATGCATGATGAGAGCCAGCCCGTAGCGCAGTGAACAGAAATCTGGCCCTAGACAGAAGAATACGCAGTGAGCGCCCCGACTGAGGCCCTTCCCCCCATTTCTTTCCCGGCTAAGTCAGAAGGAAATTCAGATATCAGACGACCCCATGTCCTTCCCACCGAGAGGATCCTTTCTGCAGTCTTCCTTTGTCATATTCTTTGGCTTCATGACAATGAATCTGGGATCTTGGATGAGCTTTCTTTCAGAGATGTGGGAAGCACATGACACAAACCCTAAGTACGACATTCACAGAGCTCCAAGATCAAGTGGATGGGAAGACAGTGCAGAGCCAAGCACGGAACCCAAGTCCCCGGGTCACAAGTCCATGGTCTGTCTCATCTGCTATGCACATTTGTGTGTTATAAAGTTTGCCCGTTCATGCATCGACAGCTGCCTTTGGGTTAAGCTGGGTGCACAGCCAAGGATTCTCTTTTTACATATGAGAGAGGATAGGGGACTTGCACTCCCTCCATTAGCTATACATTTCTGCTGTGTATCACTAAGCCCTGGCTTCACATGGATTTAGCTTTTAAAATAAATAGTTAACGTGTAGAGCCATTTTTTGAAGCAAAAGTAACATTAAAAAACACTCCCACTGGACATGGTGTCTCATGCCTGTAATCTCAACAATTTGGGAAGCGGAGGCAGGAGAATCTCAGGTTCGAAGCCAGCCTCAGAAACTTAGTGGGGCTGTCAGCAACCTAGTGAGACTCTGTCTCAAAATAAAAAATAAAAAAATTATCATTCCCATGAAGTGGAACAATGGCCCGATATTGGGAAAATTCCCATGTGAAGGATGGGTCAGAATTTTTTATTATTATTATTATTTGCATATTTAAAGAACTGGGAGTAAAGGAAAATAGAGAGTATCTATAAAGAAACAGATAAAAAAAATAAGAGAAGAAATAAATTTTAATGGCCAAATAGGCTTAGGATAGGATTAATTGCCTGCAATGGATTATTCCCACATTACTGTAGGCTGGCTCTGGGGAACAGCCGGTCACTTGGCGAGGGTATTCTAGGGGGGATGCCTACAGAAGTTAGGAATTGGCTTAAAAATAACGTTTCCAAGATGCATTTCATTCTTTAGATCCTATAACTTATCCATCATCTGATGCAATTTCCGGCAGCTAATCTAAGGGGCTCCCTAAGGAAAAGCAACAGGAGTCAGGGCTGTGGCTGGGTCTGATGCTACATGGGAGTCCCCACGGGGGCGATGGGAAAGGATGGGAAGGGAGGGAGAGGAGGAAGTGCTCCAGGAAGGCTTCCGTCTCCTGCAACCTGGGATCAGGGCCTGGCTCACCTTTCCTGGTGGTCGGCTTCTGGTCCATCTAGCTCCTCTGTCAACAATGCCTTGCTTAGTGGTGGGGCGTCCCTCTTCCCTGAATCTCTGAGACCACGACCAGCTTCTATCTGTAGGGAGAACAGGAGCCGAGACATGACACACAAATAATTTCCTCCCACTAACCTGCCACCTCTGGGCACCAGCAGCAGGTGTGGTCCCTGCACAGCCACAAGATTTCTGGGTGCGCTCCTGCTCTGCTTTAGCAGGACAGGATTTCATAAGGGGGTCAGGCTGCTGGATATCCTCAGTCACGCCCTCAGTTCTCTCCCCGTCCATTTCCTCATCTGCTCAGGAATGAGGAGGCTCCTTGCTGAATGGTGCTGCAGGAATAAAGGAGGAAAATCACGGATGACTTATGGAGCCCCAGAGAACCAGGTGAAGGTGAGAGTGCAACTTGCAGCAGCTCAGGAAAGCAGTGAAGTTAAACCAGGGAGCTGAGGAGCAGGTGCCCGAGCAGGCTTCTCTTCCATTCACACCTTGCTTCCGTTCCCTCTGGATAATAGAGCGTGTTCCGTGGCCTCCCCTTTGAACATGAAGCATGGAGCGGCACGGCACTTCCCTGTCAGACACCTAAAGGTTCCAACGGTTGTGTGCTGGGGCTGGGGTCGGGGCTCAGCAGGAGAGCGCTCGCCTGTCATGTGCCAGGCACTGGGTTCAATCCTCAGCACCACATGAGATAAATAAATAAAATAAAGGTGTTGTCTCCAAGTACAACTAATATATATGTGTGTATATATATATATATATGAATATATTTAAAAAATGTTGTGTGCCTCACACAATTTGGACACTTTACTGGACTGACAAGATCCTCCTTCACTTACAAAATTACACTGAATGGGAATTTTTTACTACGTTATTTTAAAATCCAGTCATTTTGACAGGCAAAGAAAATTCACGAGTCCAAATGGACCTGTTTAATTTGATTTTTGTGTACTAAACTCTCTTGGGGATGTATACATCTGCTTCTTCTAGGAAAATCCCCAACCCCGAAGGCATTGCTAGTTTTCCATTCTTCCTCAAACTACTTCTGCCATGACTTAAAAACAAACAAACAAACAAACAAAAAACAGTATCATATTTATGTTTCATGATTTGAGGTTTGCTCTCTTCCTGCTTTAAAAGACTTATCTGCATCTTTACCGAAGTTCATAACCTAAGACCTTAGGATACAGGAAATTAAGCAATGATACGGGTGAAGAATTCTGTACAAAACTATCCTTTGCAGTATTAGTTGTGACAGCAGAATACTGGAGATAAACTAACCTAACAATAAGAATTGGCAGGTCACATATACAGAAACAGGGTCACACACGTTCCCAGAGGCTGTTATTGAGGTACAGAACAAGACGGTCACTTTATTGCTTCTGATTTTCCATATATACCAAGTTTTTCTAATAATTAGTAGATATCCACTTAATACCCAGAAGAAACTAAATTTATTTCTAAAACAATTTAGGCTTCATCCCATGGACAGAGGAGTATTCTTTAAGGCAGATCTTTCTATAAGTCTGAGTAGCATGACTCCCCCTCTAAGTTTTCAGATTTTCCTGTTTGCTTAGGACGGACAGAAGAGGAGGCTCAACTGCTGGCAGGAGCAGAGCAGCGCCTACAGGTGGCCACTGCTCTGACCTGAAGGCTTCCGGCATTGGCTGAGGTTTAGGTGCCCTGGGCCCTGTAGCCCTCCGCGCGGCCCTTCCAGGCTCCGCTGGGAGCTGTCAGGTGCAGAGCTGGAGTCTGCACGTCTCCTCCTGGACCTGTCTGGTTCTGAAGATCCCAGGACCTGCTGGAGGCAGCAGTGCACTCAGCTTCCCCAGCTCCTCAGGGACTTTATAAACTTGGAGCCAAAAGGGATTCAGAGATTTTCTGTCCCAAATATTCATTTTATTGATGAAAAAAACAGGTGCAGACAGCATGAAAATTCCCGAAACCACACAGTTCAGAGCCTGTCGGGTCTCTAAAGGCGCGGCTGCTCCTTCTACCTGTGAATACTCTTTCTTTTTATAGTCTAACTATTTTAGCCATACGCTTAAAACACAGTAGGGTATCTTCATTTTGAGGCATCTTAAATGGAAATCTATAAATTTTAAATCAACTTTTAAATATTTATTTCAGAAAGAAATTTAATGATGAAAAATACTTTAAGAGCTTGATTAAAAACAAAACAGAACAAACAAAAAAAACCACTACATTTTCTTGTGTTTCCTAAGGTGGTGGAATCGTTTCACACACCCGTTATTTCCGTCCTCCTTCCCATCCTCCGTTGATGTCAAACGGGGGAAAAGCCCTATGTAGCTTTTATGGTTCCAAGTATCACTTTGAATTTTGCCTTAATGGCTTTCAGTTGTCAACCTTTTGTTTCCTTTACATGAGACAAATACAGAAATCAGGCAAACAGCCCCATTCTCAAGCGGAATCTTTCTGTGGATCGTAATGAAAACCATCTTTCTAATGTAATCCCAGCAGCTTGTGAAATATGGGTTCTGAGCCCCGGCCTGACTGATGTGCCCTGAAAGACAGTGAGATAATGCTCCGTCTAACTACAGACGATTGAGAACACGTGGTTCTGTGAAGGACCTTCCCATTCAGGAGGGACACTTTGGAAAAAAAAAAAAGAATGAATCCTAGAGTAACGTTGTGAGTACCAAGAAGAGAACTGAAGGGAAATTAAAGGAAAATTATATCTATATAAAATAATACGATGACACAGCCCAGGGTATATAGAGAGATAAAATTGGTGATATAGGTCTTATGGTTTCGCGTAGGGTAAAGAATACCTTTTTCCCATTCCTCTTAGTCTCGAATGCATTATTTGGCTACAACAGTCTTTCTCCCACTCTTAGAAGTCCAGTAACAAGCGGCCTGGGTTGCGCCATCTGTTAGTCGAGTCTCCTGGTTTACTCAGAGTAAATGCAATGCGAAGTTCAAAGAGCACCAACCTGCAGTTCAGGGTTCCCAGAGTGACTCCCGCTCTGTCGTTCCCAGCCTGCAAACCTGGGCGAGTTTCCTAAGCTCCCAGAGCTCTCACTGCTCCGTAGGAAAGGTAGGGAAGGCTGTGACTTCCCAGGACTGTCAGAGTTAAAACCCAGGTAAGAGACACGCCTTGTACGCCGCAGAGCAGGCCACCTGGGAAGGCTCCTGGTGTGGACCTCGGCAGGATCGACCAGCACCTCAGCATCAGCACCAGGCCCCTCAGGTCCCTGAGAAGTGCAGCCGCAGGGCAAATAAAACGCACTCATGACAAAGTGCTTTTGATGGGTGCTGACTTGGTGTTAAACTTGTTCCGTTAAAAGTGGGTTCTCCTGGCCTGGAGTCCAGACGATGGGTGGGGAGGGGGTTATCTTGCACTAATGTCAGAGGCCGCGCCATGAGGAGAATCCTTCCCCCTCACCACCCGCGGACCTTGCTGAGGGCCTAGAGCTTCTGAAAAAACCTTTCTGTCAGCATATCGTTGTTGCACTGTCCGTTCACTTATGAATTGCATCACAACAAAAGAAAAAGTGTGCTGAGCCCCCTCCGCGGGAGACAGGAAGGGAGTTAGGCCCAGGCTCAGCGCACTGCAGGAGTGCCCGGAGACACAGCCTGCCCTCCCCTGCCCCCACCCCAGCCAGGGCCCTGCTTTAGAACCGGGGTTTTCTTGGGGTAGCTTGGGAGACGGCACTGCACCCCGACTCCAGGCTTCCTTCCAGTCCCACTGCCCGTAACCATGACCTCTGGGCACCTTTTCCCAGCTGCATGGTGGGCAGCACACCAGGGACTTCTAGAAGCATCCACACGCTCTCTTGCCTTCATGCCTATTCACAACTTGAGTCATTTCCTCCTCCTCCTGAGAGGCAATTTCAAATACATGTAGAAATCTGGAAAAGCTCGTTAGCCGCCAGCCCAACCTCGCTGGTTCTGATCCACTGTTTCTTTCACCGTCCACTCAGCCCGACTCATTGGGGTGCCACGGTCAATACTCACGGAGTCCTCAGGGAAGTGACCCACGTCCACTGTGTCCATCTGCACCAGTGTTCCCTTAAGCCTTGCTCTGGGGTCTTGACCGACTCATGACCCCTCTCAGAAGGTTCCTTCCTCATTTTGGAACCAGACACCATTCTCAAATGCAGACTCTTAGGTTGCTGATAATGTCTTTCCTCCAAGGTTCCCTCAAATAGTTCCCTCTGTCCAGTGGATCTCTGATAGATTAGAAAGTAGCATCCTTCCCCCAAAAGAAGACAAGCACTTACCTTCACCATTAAACCAGTATTTTAAGCCCCGGACTTTAAGGCTGGCTTAAAAAAAGAGGGAGTTCCCATCTGTTATTCCCTTTCACACCCAGGCGCCTCACAGGGATAAATAATAAGTCACGTGGCAGACAGCACCAGGTTTGACCCTGGGATCTTGGAGCAGAGAGGCTGGATTTGGCTTTGCCTCTTAATTTTTAACTTTGTTTTCAGGTTGTCACTCAGAAGACGTCACCGTGTTGTTCAGGTCTGCGCTGAGCATGCAGCCATCCCATCAACAGGCCTGTCCTGAAAGGTGGGGGGCTGCCATGGAGCTGGGCTCTGAGACAGGACCGAGAAGCCAACCCCACTTCTCTTCCTAGTGTCTCCGGTGACTCTGCAGAATTCACATAACCTTGAACGAGTGTTTGAATTGGTAAAGCCAGGGTTGAAATATGCCGTCCCAGAGGTTCCTGGACAAAAGAAATGACCGACTGGCTAACTGGCCGAAGACCTCCTCAGCCCCATGTGGTTACGTCACCTAGACTTTCCTGAGGCGTTTGTGCCCATGGGCGGGCAGATGTGAGCTGGATCGCTCTGATAACGCCCCCTGAAGCTGCCCCCGCTGTCCTTCCGGCTTCTTGTCTGTCTGCTCGACTCCTGATGCTTGGGTCTGTGTCTTATTTATGCTTCTTAATTTTCGGACTGTTTTTGCTACTGTATCTTCCTAGTTTGACTCCTGACCCTTATAAAATGGGGTGGGGACCTGCCCTCTGAGCATTCATTGATTTCAAACTTCCTGAGTTAAATTCCCCCTCCCTCCACAGCTACTCTTGTCGTACTCCCCAAGAAAGACTACTAGTTAGTTGGGCTTATTTGCGTCCTGTAGAAATTTAAAATTTTTCTATTGCTCCTTTAATAAATTGCTACAAACTTAGTGATTGAAAGCGATTCAATCAATTTCTTACAATTCTAGAGTCAGAAGTCCAAAGTAGGTTTCACTGGACCAAACTCAAGGTGTCAACAGGACCATGCTTCTTCCAGAGGCTCTAGGGGAAAACCCATCTCCCTCTTTTTCCATCCTTGTTGTCACCCACATCCCTTGACTCTTGGCCCCTTCCTCCATTTTTGAAGCTATACAGCAAAACATTTTCAAATCTTTCTCATGCTGTGTCTCCTGCCTCCCTCTCATAAGGACCCTAATTAAATGGAGCTAACCATAAAATCCAGCGTAATCTCCCCATCTCAAAATCCTTAATGAATCACACACATGAATCCCCTTTGGTCACACAGGTAATCTATTTACAGTTTCCAGGGATTAGCATGTGGACATCTTTGGGAGCATTAGTTTGCTTGCCACAAAAAGAGTGGTCTAAAGTGTTCAGTGTCACAAGGAAGATTCAGAGTGCATTCTTCAAGTTGAACATTTTGAGACTGAATTCTGCAAGCTACCTGAAGGGATATGGTGTATTCTTAGAATTACCATCCACAGTTCCAGGCACAGCACCTGGCCTACGGTACATGCTAAGGTCTGAATGTTTGTGTACCCCAAAGCTCATATGCTAAAATCCTGATGCACAAGGTAGTGGTATCAGGAGGTAGGTCCTGTCATGAGCAGAATCCTCATAAATGGGTTAGTGTCCTTTGAAAGAGCGTCAAGGGAACTCCTTCAACCTTTCTGCCATATGAGGACAAATAAGTAAGCAGGCCTCACCAGACACTAGTTTGTGGGCACCTTGATCTTGGACTTCCCACCTCCGGAACCATAAGAACCGTTATAAACCGTTGTTTATAAAGCCATCCAATTTGTGGTAATTTGTCATAGCAACCTGAATAGACAGTATGAGTTCAATAAATAATGGATTACAGAGTGAACTTATTCTGGAGTTAGATTCACTATCAAGAATCAAATTTCTGAAATTGGTTCAAACCCCTCACCACTCAGCATGATTTTCACATAGCAAAGTGTTGCTGAATCAACTCAGTGAGTTATACTCTTAGAGAACTTGTCGTATGTGTTACATTATCAACCTCAAAAGTAACAGAGCAGAGCCCAACTTGGTGACACACACCTGTAGTCCCAGCAGATTGGGAGGCTGAGGCAGGAGGATCACAAGTTCAAAGCCAGTCTCAGCCATTTTGTGAGGCCCTAAGCAAATTTCCAAGACCCTCTCTCAATACAAAAAACATAAAAAGGGCTGGGGATATGGTTTAGGGGTTAAGCGCCCCTGGGTTCAATCCCTGGTATGAAAAAGGAGGAGGAGGAGGAGGAGGAGGAGGAGGAGGAGGAGGAGGAGAAGTAACAAAGCAGTAAAATTCAGAGATCCTGAAAACTTTAGTTTTCTCTGACCCAACATTCATGGCTGTATTCGACCAAGACAGTTCAATTCCACACTTTCATTTATTTATTTTTAAAATTTGCTCTGTTCCAAACATGGCGCTAACTTGGGAAAATATCAATTTGTTTAATACCTGGCCCATGACTTCAGAGAGTTCAAAGTCCCCAGGGTGAGACTATATCCCAAACAGACAATCAGGATGCACAGGAAACAGACGCAAGGCAGCCTTCAGGGTGTAGGAGGCCGAGGAAGGACCCAGGCGGCCAGGCCCTGCCTTCCTGGGAGGTGGGAATGAGTCCTAGTGTAGGGAAGGACTTTCCAGAAAGAGCAAAGCCACTGGCTTGGTGTGAGACACTAGAGTTGTTCAGCACTAGCGGGGATTAAAGTACAAAGGTACAAATGGGATTTGGTGGACTGACTGGAAACATGATAAATATTTTTTAAAAAATCAATTGCTTTAGGGCTGGGGTTGTGGCTCAGCGGCAAAGCGCTTGCCTCGCACGTGTGAGGCCTTGGGTTCGATCCTCAGCACTACATATAAATAAATAAAATAAAGGCAATGTATTCTCCTACAACTAAACTAAAAAAAAAAAAAATCAATTGCTTTAACCTGTAGAAATAACATCCAGAATAAAAATAGAAAGAAGTTATAATATCCCCTCAGAAGAAAAACAATGATTTTGTTGGCATTATTTGAAGAAGAAAAATGTTACTTAGAGAAAATAAAATAAAATAAAAAATTTTAAAGGACATTAAGTAAGATCTGGCTAAATGAAACTACATACTGTGTATTTGGACAGAAAAACAATATCATTAAAATACAATCCTCCCTAGATTCATAACAAAAATCAGTGAAAATTGAAATGGAGAAGGAAAAAAATAGAACAACAAATTGGAACTCTCCTAAACACCCTAAACAGGAGACTGATGAGACCTTATGATCCATCCTGGTCACAGGAAAGTAAGAAACAATGAAAGGAACAAGTCACATCTGTGTTATCTGAAGTGAGTGCCTTTATCTAATGCAACATAATTTTAAATAAGTAAAGCAAATAGAACATGTGAAGGGACCTCATTTTGTCCCAAATATTTTCTTAAAATATCTATGTGTACATTTGTGTAAGATTGTATGGGCCAGATTTGCTGTTAACTTCAGTTATTAGCTGGGTAACCAGTGAGGTGGTAAAAAAGCTGTAAGATTAAACAAACAACAACAACAACAACAACAAAAAACACCACAAAAAAGCAACATTGATAGACTCTGGAGGTAAAACTACACGTGTGCATGTGCATCTGTATGGAACTCTCAGAGCTACGTTTCTGTCTCTGCGTGCACATGTATAGATATGTTAGAGATCTTTGCCATCTACTCTGACAGAAGATTAACATCCAGAATATATAAACAAATAAGAAAACTAACCCTCCACCCAAATAACTCAATCAATGAATGGATAAAAAAAACGAAACAGATATTTCAATGACTAACAAGTAATTGAAAAAAATTCAACATCTCCAACAAACAGGAAAATGCAAATCAAAATTACACTGATATTTCATCTCACTCCAGTTAGAATGGCAATCATCAAAAATACAAATAATAATAAATGCTGGTGAGTATGTGGGGGAAAGGGTACACTTATACATTGTTGGTGGAACTGAAAATTAGTAACAACCACTCTGAAAAGCAGTATGGAGATTCCTCAAAAAACTAGAAATGGAACCACTATATGACCCAGCTACCCTATTCCTTGGTATTTATCCAAAATACCTAAAATCAGCTTGCTATAGATGTAACCTCTACGATGTGTATAGCAGTACAATTTAAAATAACCAAGATATGGAACCATCCAGTTACCCTTCAACCAATGAACAGATCAAGGAAATGTGGTGTATATACACCATGGAGTTTTACTCAACGGTAAAGAAGAATGATTTTATGGCAACTTTTGGTAAATGTATGGAAATGGAGACCATCATGCTAAATGAAATAACCCAGACTCAGAAAGTCAAGGGTTGAATATTGTCTCTCATATGTGGAAGCAAAAAGTGGAGGGATCCCATGAAATTAGAAGTGGCACCAGTGGGGTGGAAGAAGGGGACTGAGGGGGAGGGAGGAGGAACAGGAAAAGGGAGGAACAGTGGAATGGAACTGGCCAGATCATGCACATACGTGAATAACCACGGAGAATTCCATATTCTGTATGTCTATAAAGCACCAATTTAAAAAACTATTAGTAAATAGAAGGAAGACCAGAAGAGTAGAGGAAGAGCAGCTAGGAGAGGGAGGAGGGGAGGGAATGAGAAATCACAGGAGACTGAAGTGGAGCAAATTATACAGCAAACATGCATGATCATGTAAAAACAAATCCCACTATTATTGTAACTCTCATGAACTATAATAAAGACACAATAAAGACAAGTAGGAGAGCGCCATCTACTGGCAAACGTGTTAGCAGACAGAAGGCATTAGAAGTAATGTAAAACCCTTTGATGAAATGCCCCTCCTGTAGGTTATGAAAAACGCGAAAGAGGCAAGGGGGAAATCCAGAGGGACAGTTAGGGCATTTTCTAGGAGTATCGCAAAATATATTCTAATAATCCATGCAAAGTGTAATGATTTTTTAAATACAGGGGGAAAAAGTATAATAAGAAGAAACAGTAAATGATTGAAAGCTTTTCCCACTGGTGTCCCTTCTCCCCAGAGTAGGAATGAAGCAAGGAGGCCAATTGTCACTCTTTATGTTCAGTGTTATAAGGAGATGCTAGCCAGGGTACGATGG